CTGTAAGTCCGCAATTATGTGTGACAACTGCACACCAAGATGTCCTATCTAGTCCACATACCCATAAAAAGGCATAAGATCAAAAACTCTTACGAAAAACTAGCTGCTTAATATTTTTGCTTTCCTTTGAAATGAGTGAGAAGATTGTCACCGTATAAGTCATACAGACAAGGAGATGCGCAGTACAACACCGCGAGAGCGAATTGTTTAGCTTGAGAGACGCCTCGGATTTCCAGCTTATCCACTTGCGAGACACGTTTGCTCGCATAACACACGTCTCAGTTGGAGTTCCATGTCTTGAAACAAGGCAATGCCGGTACTCTAAACAGCCGGTGAAATTGGCGTCACTAGGGGGTTACTGCGGTAGGAAATGTTTGCGGAGGGAGGGGGGAGGATGTTGGTCAATCCAGCTACATGCCGAGTCAAACGACTTCGCTCTGCATTACCTCCAAGAGCAGGTACTTAGAGGGCGAGAGCACAGCAGCAGGCAAAGAGGTCCAGGGAGCATAATCGTGAGGGCGAGACCGAGAGGTGACTATATGGATGCCTACGTTTATATACGTTTTGACCAAAATACACGTCCCTGTGGAATCGGTTCTCACTATGCAGATTGTTTGATGCCGCACGTGCTTGCTCATCACGCATGGAGAGGTATCATTCATGACATCATTAAGGCCGGGTAGGTCAGGCATGATCATAGCCGTAACAAGTACAAGTTAGTAAGTACAAGCGCGTGCTCGCAAACAGCGCATATTCGCTAAAGAGGAGCCTCGTTATTATTACACCCCCTGCTGTGATCGAGGGGAGATGAGTAGACGTTCTGAAAAGTCCAAGCTACACTTAGATACTGTAGTGGACCTATAGGTAGTCTATAGACGGCAAACTTTAAGACGTAAATGCATGGTAGGTGCTATTATTTAATAACGTTTTATTTAGCCCGTAAGCCAACCACTTTACCTCATGCGGATTAGCAGTGCATACAAGGTTCCGACTTCCTAAAAGTAAACACAGGCCGTATTACAGTATACTTTTTACTGGACTTAATAAGCATGATTACTAGAATTCGCAATTTAGCATGGGCACAGCCTGATGGATAGAGCTGAGAGGGTGGAAACCAAGTCAAGCTCTGTTGTGCTCAGGGCCTAAAACTTGAACTTACTCGGAATAGTTTAAACCCAGATTCAGACTCCTTGTTGAGATCATGGCGTATGAGCGCCAGCATTGGCTTTAATCAACGTCACCTCTGACAAATGGTAGCGTCAGTGTTAGTACCAGTACTACTAACGCGCAGTTACGTTGCTAGCTAGTAGTAGTAGAAATAGGCGAAGCTATTGTAAAGAAGAACCTGGGGCACGCATATTTGCTTCTATTCAGGAGTAACTGTATCCGTCTCGGCCGCCCTGAGCCTGTCTTGACACCTACTGAAGGTGATTGAGGGTAAATAGTGCGCCAGTACCCGCGAAAAGTTTATTGTCGTTTAAGACTGGGATAGGCGGTGTTTCTGGGTTGCATTGGAGAAAGCGACCAACGTCGGGTCCCATTTGGTCTTCTTGATCCCGGGCGAAGGTGAAGAGTGCGGTTAGCGCCAGCTACGTCTGCTATCGCTATAATCTAACCCCTGAGACTGTCACCTTCTGTATCAACCTGTTGGTGCACTTGGTGGACCTCATCGAAATCAATGGTCGAGCACACAAAGCATGCGATAGAGGATCATTTCGAAACTGCAGTAGATCATGATCCGAGGATGAACGATCTAGACTAAGCTACGCTGCCTGTGAGTCGCTTTGTGAACACAGCACTCGCTGTCTAAACAAAAATCCCTCGGATTTTGTGGTTACATGTCTACCTGGTCGAAAAAGGCGATGATTCAAAAGCGCTGTAAAACCGGTAGGATAACGGATAAATGAAGTAGCAACTCGGGCAGGTGCGGGTGGGTGCCTCGAATACTTCGGCTCTAACTCAATATCAATCCAAAGACTAATGCTGGAATATACGGTCTCTTATATGTGGACGGGTGACATGGTCTGTGCGTCTGAATGCGCTTGACTAACGACGGTTACTTCAACAAGTTTGTATTAATTATCATTGTTTTACTGGGTATCCGTGATTGTTTTGTAAAATCGATATTAAACGAACGATTTCATGTTGATAACTGCAGCCAATTAACCTACTGAGGTGCAGTCGAAGTCGACCGCGACGCCGCCTGGTTTTAGTTCAAACCCGTATGGCGGTTACATCGATATAGTCAACTGACCCACTTAGAATGCAGGTCTGAACTGGCAGCTCCTAGCTCTTATGGCTGGCGTGCTAAAACTCTATTCGAAAGTCGCAACCGTGAGTACTTAAAGAGGCCATCAATGATAAAAGTATAGGGGTTAGAACTGATTGGAAGCCAGGTCTTCATGTCATACACCACAATAACGAAGTCCACATCTTCAAAACGTTGGTAGTTCGCAAGTCCTGGAACAGGCATCGATATTAGCGGAATTCATACAGAAGATATTAAGCGGGGGTAATATTTAGCGCCGACAGAAACTTCTGACAGAAATCAAAGTCACGCCTGATTGACAGATATCGAAAAACGTTCGCGAATTTTGGAAAACTGAATCGGTCTCCATTCGTAGAATCGTGTTTACTTCATAAGAAACAACGAACTTCATGCAGGAAACACTGAAATTAGATATACAGCCGGCCAAGCAGCCATTACTTCGGATTTTTGTGGTTTTTTTCGGATGTTTTACTTTGGAGAGCGTTAGTGACGAACGACTATGTTAGACAATGCACTTGTCTACACTAAACTTGGAAATGCTAGTCATTTACGGCAACCCACATATGCTCACTGTTTATGGTACAGGTACCCGGGAAGGTCAAACCGTACATTTTCGTTGGCGAGGTGTAAGATATGCAATAGCCGTGTAGCCTTAAACATAAAATGTGAAGATCGCATAGAAATGATGGGACGTTCGTCCTCTGGGGATGAGGATAGGTAAGCTGGGGTGAATTTGACAACTTATGGATTCATACGAAGATGCGACGCAGCGAGCAAAGTCCAGATCACCAAATTTCTTTCTTTCTGTCCAAACAACCGACAAACCTTATAAACTATCCGGCTCTGCTCGACCACGGTTAAGATCGTCTCTTGCGACGGGAAGACCTAATCGAGATTACAATGTGCTTTAGGAGGCTGAAAGCAAACGTGTCCGCCGGAGGGAAGTAAAGACGTTTCTTTTCGCAGCGAGCTCCTATTTTTCCAGAGAATTCATCTGCCAGCTTAATGAGAGATTCGTCTCAACTCCGGTAATTCTCATAATTGGCAAATTTGAGCTATTGCTACAAAGAAAACTAAAGTTTTGGTTTAAAGAAGAGGACAGACTTAGTAACCCTGTGGCTTTAACGTCATACGTTTTGGTGTGCCTACTATAACGCCGACTGTTGCAAGTTGAGTCGGCTCTCCGTGACGTCAACTACGGAAGATTGCGTGAACTTATATCAACCGGTAACTTTGCTGCATCTTCACCGAAATACAGGCGATGTGGTGGAGAATGTAAAACGCGTTCAGACCATAAAAGAACGAGGTTAAGGTAAAGTTCTAGTCAAACTACACGCACGACCGTTTTCAAAGGTTGCAACACAAAAGAGGAAAGCAGGAGGCGCACAATGGCCACCGCTATGTCCCTCAGATGTGCATGTTGGGTGTAACCCACAACCGTAAAAATTACGGTATCGCAGAAGAAGCATTCGCCAATGCCGAATGAAAATGTGATTGTTAGATGACTTGGGTATTCTAGCCACTATATGTAAGATAAAACCGCCTATTTAACTATTATAGGTACCCGAAAATCCACAACCCCCCAGCTGGACGGAACTGTAAGTGCTTTGAAAAGGCAAAGAAACACGTCTGGATCAGACGCAAGGTAAAGCCAAAAAATGGGGCCAAATTACAAAGGAAAGAAAGGGAGCTAGATTTCGATAGAGCCCTAAATATAGGTCTTCCTAATAATCTACAATACGGCCTATACGAACCGACTAGTTATCCCAGAAAATCTGTGTACAAGCGATGAGAACACGCACAAGAAAACCAGTCGGACGTGCACAGTAAAAGAGAGGACATGTTCGCGTGAGTAACAAGAGACCCTGAGGATGTCAAACGACAACTAAATCTAGGGTGCGCAGCCATCGCGACCAAAAACGAATCAACGAAAGTAAACCAGCTTACTAATGCTTCCTTGATTGGAGATGCAAGTATTCCGGTTTTTGGCGGCCTGTAGGGCTGGGTTTGAGTCGCGGTCCAGAGACGGGTTTTCAATAAGGTCGGACAGAAGACCAGTACTAACGGACGCATGGGGTACGGGCAATCCCGCAGACATTTGGGGGAAAAAAGCGTCGGCTGATGATTGAGAAGTAGGAACACTGGGGACCACGCGCACAGCGGATTTCGGCTATAGCGATCAAGAGGACGAAGTAGTGTTGATCAGTGAAATTGGCGATGTACAATGCGAAATTCTCACAAATGGTCAACGGACTGAACTAGGTACCCTGGAGTAGAATGACACTTGAATATAAAAATACATCTTAGAGGCTTACGGGAGTTCCACACTTACAGCACCTCTCTGAGCTAAACAGAGCAGTTGGTACTTTAAACAGAATGTTTGATAGAAACGGTTTAGAATACTTATAGATTTATTAGTTCTCGCTTGAAGGACAATGCATTGAAGAGTGAAGTGACAAGATACTTTGGCTTTTGCGATGAATAAAATAAATATAGAAAGATCAGCACAATCAAAAAGCAAAACTTGCAAAAAGTGTCAACAAAACAAGAAGTTTGACTGTTTTAAATTAGAAGCAATGAAAGGCTTTCGGGTAATTGGTAGCAGCAAAAATAGGTTCATCGCAAATTCCTTAGCTGACGAAGAAATAAGTTCGATCACAGAAATTATTGAGGGAGCGCAAAAACTTGCCGAAATATTTTGTTCATTACCGGAACCAATAAAATTTTATGGTTATTTTTTGTCAACAAGGTTAATCAAGATTTTTAAATTTTGAATAGGGAGGCGAGGGGAAACTTTGTGTGATGAAAATACTTTCACATTTTGATCATATACCGGTAATGAGGAAGAGTGCTGGGCGTTCATATGATAGTTGAGTCCAGTCCTTGATTTATACCGAGAGCCACAAATTTCACAAATGAAAAGCGGAATGTGGGCACTTTTGTCATTGGAATCCTCATCCAAAGGGAGACCTCCGTTGCTGTAGTTCATATAAGAACTGTTTGCATTCGCGCCTTTGCGGCGGTTGCCTGTGGCACTGCCACCAGGTGCAGCCGCGGATCGAGAAGGACGAGAAGCCTACGAGGAGAGGATGGTATTACAGGCGAACTGTTACAAGACAATTGACGTTGAGAGAATATCAATTCACTTTTGAGTAAAGAGATCAGCATGTTGGAGTAACAGTTTAGCAGAGGGGAATGGATTTCAAATCTGGATACAATCTTCGAACATAGAATAAGTCCACCGCAAAATATATTTATTTATATTGGAAGTCAATACACTGAGCAACAGAGTAAAAAATTTAACAGTAGATTCGGCGTAAGCAGTAAAACGTTAAACCGACGACTACGATTAACTTGGTACACCATAGCGTCTAGCTAACGGTCAGATTGGTCGAGACACGTGTACAATCAATGTTAATCACTTCTATCAAACATAAAAATGGGGCTCAACATATTTACTACAGGTTATGAAAATTTGCGCCTTACTCAACGAATTATACATAGGCAGAATTAGCGACGTTAGGGTAAGGATTCGCAAGCATAGTGTGGTGATATGGGGCATGGTATATCTGCATCCACACATCGTATGGCCTATGCACACGTATTAACTGGCAAATCAGATAAGGCCACGATTGGAATTATAACGGTTAAAAGGTTATCGATAGGGAAGATATACGTTCAAATCGAGGTCGCAAATAGTCTGATTAAATAGCGTAAGAAGCACAATAAACAGTTTACGCTAAATTATACTAGCAAATAGTCATGGTAGTGGCTTACCCGAGTTTTGCGCTTCTTGCGTCGGCCGCCGTAGGTCTCATCTGCAAATTCACTGCCCTCGGAATCCATGTCGCCGATTGGTCCCGTTGCCCATGTGCTGTGGCTATCTTCGTCATCTAAATCCCTCCACATGAGATCGTGAGATCCGAAACCAGATGGTAACAATTCTGTTAACGAAAATACGGTAAAGGGGACAGAACTCACCTGGCCTGAAGACAGTTCCACTCGTCTCAGACGACCGAACAACGGAGTTGTGCGTCAGGCAGGTTTTCTTGGTTTTTTTCCATTTATACGGGTAGTAATTAAAAACCTTGTGATTCATAAAGTCGAGGCGTCTATCGCCCTCTTTGCGATGAAGCAGACAGGGCCGCTGTGCGATTCCTGTGGCATTGTCCAGAAAGGGAAGCCGGCTCCTTTTGTCAAGTTGCAGTTGATGATTATAGCGCGATGTACGAGCTAGTATGTTCTCGTAAGAGAAATCACCAGAGACAGCTGTCATGAATGAAAGCTTAAGATCCTATTGAGTTTTTTTCAGAAATGCCTGTCTGGATGATGGATAATTAATAAATCAGCTCCGTTCGCGCAAACCCAAGACGAATGACAACGTTTAACTAAAGGGGCAAAAAGTATTAATTTAAGAAGGGAATTACAAAAATTTTAATCGAATCTATGTAAAGAGAAAATCGGAGTATTGGTAAAGACTCACCAACCCCTAAATGTGAGCTCGTGGTCAACAAAGACACCAAGTCGAAGGCACCGGCCAAGCAGTGTAGAAGAAGAAGAAGAAGAAGAAGAAGAAGAAGAAGAAGAAGAAGAA